CAAATTCCAACCCAGAAGATGCTGTCATACAACAACTTGCTATCCTAAAAGAACCATCCAAGTAAACAACATGGATAAAGACGTTGGTATCCTTGAGACGATATACAAAGTTGAAAGTGAAGAAGAGGTTAACATGCCACGCTACCATGAGAACAACCCGATGAGCCTAAGTTCAAGACGTGTAAAGGTATGAGTTTTAATCCACATGCAGGTGGTGGTTCAAAAACTGATAACCCTACTGTTGTTGACTCGCCGACCCTGATCATAGAATCTCAGCAAATGATTTAGATGATCTCAATATACCTATAGCGCCAAGAAAATAAAAAAGGTCATGCATAGCTCACTCCATCAACAACTTCATGACACAAAGATTTGTCATCCATGCATAGAGCGAATGTAGCCATCTTAGACTCGATACATATTACAAAGAATGTACAAGAAGCCCTCCAACATCCAATGTGGAACACTGTCGTTGAAGAAGAAACGAATGCCCTTGAGAAGAACAACACTTGGGGAATACTCAAACTTTCCCCTCCGTTAAGCAAACTGTCGGTTGTAAATAGATTCTCTCATTGAAGTATAATGGAACCATAAATCGGTTCAAAGCAAGGCTAGTGGCAAAAGGGTTTACACAACCATATGGAGTAGACTATGGGGAAATGCTTGCACCCATAGCAAAGCTCAACTCTATAAGGGTATTACTCTCACTTGTAGCAAACTTGGATTGGGCCCTTCAATAACTTGATATAAAGAACGTCTTCCTTAATGGGGAGTTAGAAGAAGAGGTATATATGAATGTACCATCGTGAAATAGACTAAAAAAAAATCCTTCGGGAAGGTATGTAAACTAAAGTCACTTTATGGACTCAAACAATCAGAAAGGGGTTGTTCGAAAGACAAACTCAAGTGGTGAAATAACTTCGGTCACTTAATGCCAAACCGATCACACCATGTTCATCAAGAACTCCTCGATAGGAAAAGCTAGCATACAGAACAAGATATAAACTTTGTTGTGGGGATGGTGAGCAGTTACATGAACTAGCCAACCGAAGATCATTGAGCATTGTGTTTTGCGTCCTCCAAACCTAAAGCGAAGCCCGAGAAAAGAGATGTTCTTTGGCAAGACAAAAGACCACTACAAGATGTTGACTGGGTGGTCACGAATGGACGAGAGATTCACTACTAGGTGCTATACGTAAATATGAAAAAATCTAGTAACCTAGGGACGCAAAAAACAAGAAGTTGCTCAAAGTAGTGCAAAGGAAAAATTTAGAAGAAATATGATTGAGAAGAACGTTAATGAAGTTGGAAGTAGTTATACCTATACTAACAATAGCACTTGTAGTTACTGTGTAAGGGATACAAGTAGGTAATGCACAATACTAGTTTAAATAAATGTGTGAGGACCGGTAGAAGGGGCATTCTGTTTTGAGTGAAACTGAAATGTAGAGACTTTTGGCCTCCCAAAAGCCAAAAACTTAGCTGTAATCATTTGATTTCCCCGTTAATCATTCAATTTCATTTGCAATTCCATCATTTATCTTTTGGTCTCCATCAGAAGGAATTAGCGTTAGTCCAATGGAACTACACAGTGACAACAAGGCAACTATTGACATTGCAAGGAACTGTGTGCATCACGTGAAAACAATACGCATATAGTAACACTTCATCAAAGAGAAATTAGGAGAACTTGAGCTGGAATATTAGCCATCAAAACGTAGACTTTAGACATCCTTACAAATGCCAACACTATAGTTCGAGGACCTAAGGTCTAAGTTGGCATGACCGACAGTCGATCCATAGCCCAGCTTAAGGGAGAGTCTAGAAAATCTTATCCCTTTGGTTGACCCACAAGATAGACTGACTTATTTTTTAAGAGTTTATTAGTAGGATAAATTTCTTTTTCTATTTCCTAGAATAAAGAACATGTAGTTATGGTCATGTAGCTATATATGGTTGCCCCTTTGTATTCGATATATTGAAAATAAAGTGAGAAACTACTTTCCCTTGCTCATAAGTTCTATATAGTATCATAAGGACAAATCTCTTAGGAAGACTATGATTAAATCCCCTTGTGACTATTCAGATAATCACAATACAACCATCTAGCGCCACAAAACCGGAACTAAATACCTTCTCCAAATGATGGACAATGCTTGTATCAATAATGAGGTGCCATAAGACCCCAAAGAGAAAAGAAGACAAGCATGTATACCAAAATCCTATGACATAAGAAGGGAGGCCACCAATATTATGCTATAACCGTTTGGGCCAAGGCCATCTACTTCACATTTCCAATTATATTTTTGTTTTGTTTCCGGAGACTGTTTCAATTTAAAATATGAACCGATATCATACCCAAATCTTATGACATTAGAATTAGGGGTGTGCATTTGGCTAAAACCGAATAAACTGCAAAACTGAAGCAGTTTGCCGATTTGGACATTCCATAATCGGTCAGCCAGTTTGCAACATTTGAAACCGAGCTTCCACGATTCAGATTACGGTCTGTAGTGCTAAATCACTATATTGGCCAAACCAAATTATATATATTATCTAATAAAAATTAATAAGTGTGTATATGAAGTACAAGGATATTTGTTTGTTTTAAGGGGACAAGGATCCGATCACTTGCCCGTCGATTTTTTATTCTTTTGTCCAAATTCCCCAAGACCTGAACATACATATACATATTACTAGTCAGTTTCATTTTATTTTCTTGTTTTATTTCGAACATGGATGCTTAGATGTGTATTTTGAACATCACATCAAGCCCCTCTCTCTTTCGCATACTATTCAAAAGTCGGGGGTCTTCACGGAAATAGTCGCACTACTCTTCAGGGTAGAGGTCTGGTCTATTTACATCTTAACCTCCCCCCCCCCCCTTCCTCTGGGTGGAATATATTGGGCCCGACTTGTTTTGGTTCATCACAAAGAGAGGCAAAGTCCAGACGGAAAAAAAAAAGTGTTTTAAAAGAGAATGATTCCAAATGGTAATCAAGACATTCCATGGACTTGCTCAAATAATTTTTTAATGTCCTCAAGGTATCAATAAAAATTCTTCTAAAATTCTACCATTATCCACTTTGTGAACCATATAATCGGAGATCTCCTTCTGTCTCTTACAACTTCTGTTTTGCACACATTTCCAGAATTTGTCTTCAACTACGACTTACAAAGCAAATCTTAATCCAGAATCAATCCCTAAATAAGACTCCTAGAACTTTGAGAATCAATCTGCTCTTCTTCATTATTATAAAATTCACTGCCTCTTAATAGGCAGACTACGCGCCAGGCATCTCCCCACCACTTTGACTAGCTAGAACCGTTTATGCTCCAATTAACAACTAATCGCCTAATTAAGCATTCCAAAAAGTTCAGAGTGACTCGACTTTTCCCATCTGGTAGTCATCAATGAACTACCCTGGAGTCTTGAATCCTTTGAGTAATTGTATCCATTGAACAATTAATCATCATTTAGAGTAGTAAGTGTGACAACTTTTACAACAATTAATCATCATTTAGTGTAGTAACTGTGACAATTTTTACAAAATCTTCAATTTGCATAACCTAGAATCTATATATCTTTTATATTAAAAAGAAAGTCTTACGTGCCTACTTAAGAGTCAACCTTATCCATGCACTAGAAGGTCAATTGACCATGCTTTTGGGAATATTGTTTACTTGATTGTTGAACAAGCGGAAAGTTTACTGAATTACAACTTTATGTTTTAAGTTTATTTTGATTCGACTGCTAGAACACAATTTATAAAGTATATTTTTCCCAGCTATTGATAATGCAATATTTTTTTGAGAAACCAATGAGATTACTTGCTCACCTGATCAGGTTTCCAGTACCTTTTTAAAACCTTAGTATAGCCTGATACCTCTTCTAATTGTCAAAAAGAAAACTGTTCTTTTTTCAAGAAAGCCCAGCAACGTTTCAACAATTAGCAGTAAATTGATCTTAGTCCAATCACATCAAACCAATTCTTGATACACTGAAATACTGAAAGATAATTTAGGGTGAGTTCGGTACGGAAACAGGCTGGAACCGGAAGGACAGCACTCAAGAGTGAGGTAGGTGGGTGAAAGAATTGTGGAGGATTTTAGGGTTTTAATTTGACATGGGTAGTTTAGTAATCTACCAATCTTGTCCCACCAGATGTTTGTTCCACCTATATTGGTGGGATAAGAAATGCATTTTTGTCGCACTTGGTCCCATCATGTCTCTGTCTAATATCGTCCCAAAGACCGTACAACAAATTTTTGTTTTGTCATGTCCCGCGCACCAAACGCACCCTCTCGCAGAGGCGGGCCTAGAAATTTTTTCAAGTGGCGGCACCCTTCCGGTATGAGAAACAATGCTATAGGTATTTTTCATGAAATCGTCATTGGTTTGTTTAGTTCCTTGCGTTGTGTACATGAGGTCCTGTGTTCAAGGCTTTATATAGCTTTTTTCTCAACTCTATTCAAAAAATCGCAACAAACTCGAAATTAAAGCTAAATCCTGGGAAATTTTAGTACACATGGGATTCGAACCCTCACATGGAAGGAGGGGAAAGACCACGGAAACAACTCAAGCAAGAGAAACTTGTGTCTATATTTGTAGTTTCAAGGAATATAACAGCACTAAAAGAAACAATACAGTAGCACTTTCACGAATGTCATATTTTTCCATTACGAGGGAGCCATGAAGGGGTGTCCTGTGCCACCTTTTGCTCCTAAATAGGTCCTCCCCTGCCCTTATATATGGCCCTAGAACTGTGAAATTTATGATTTCCAAACTCACACATTGCTGAAATAGAGCAGTTAAGAGGATCTTTCGTCATTTCCCGGGAAGATTTAAATATCTTTCTCTTTTGATGAAAAGAATTCCATGAGAGAGGGAAAGAGAGGAGAAAGAGGATTGCACGCAGCGTGTGGGAAGGATATTGTCGACTAGGTGGGTATCCACTAATATTTAGATCAAAGCTTACAGGAAACAACAAACAAGTTACCTGAGAATAGTTACTTCATGAGAAAATTCATCCTCCAATGCTTCATTTAGGTGTTCAGATCTAAGAATCTTCACAGCAACATCCTGACCAACATACACTCCACGGTGCCTTGCCAAGAATAAAAGGAGAATAAAGAGCTAAATCAAGATATTGACTATGAAAGCAATGGCATATAACAGAATGTAAGACGTAATCCACTTACAAATCGCCACAAGATCCAGAATCGATTTTTTCCCCTATCTTCAGTAATCTTATATCTACCTCCGTATCTACAAAATTGGCTTGAGCAGCAAGTGCTCTCTCTATGGTTGATTTTGAACGTGAAGAGCCAGGCCATGAACCCTACAAGGTAGAAAGTAATGTAGTTTGTACAGACATATTGATATTTCTGTCTTACACAGGTTGCTAGAAAGAACACTGGTACAAACATCAGAATAGATGACAGAAAGTTACAAAGTACTAAAATAACTGAAAACAAGGTTAAATGACATCAAACCCTTATCAGAGCTCGTCATGCCCACCAACTTATCATTGATTGGAAATTTAAAGAATAACAAAGCAACAGCTGGTTTTAATAGACGTCGATCCAACTGGTGACAGTAATACAGAGGTAACACAGGCTACTATATATGTACATATAAAAAAAGGAAATAAAGATGATAAGAGACAAATATCTTGACAGGCCGGAAAGATACAAATAGACGGTCCAGTATATCATTGGGGATTGCAAAATGTAGTTCAGAATATCCTTAAGTTACCAAAAACATAGTCATTTAGTTTTTTTTTCGTGGATCAGCAGAAAATGGAAGTCAATTTTGGATAAGAAGATCTTTATTATCCAGTAGTCATCAGTGAAGTATTCCAAAGATGCACACAGATTTAAATTTAGCAAAATTGTACACAAGCACTTGCTTACTATAAATAGATCAGACTACAGTAATTGACATTACTAAAACTGGTGTTTGGTTGCCAAGTAATTCACCTTATAATCTTCATGTAGAATATGAAACAACTATCACCAAAAAGTCAACTTAAATGACCAAAACCATTTTGTAAAAAGATTGAAAATCTTGAAGAGATGACATAGTAACAAATTAACTAAAATTCATTATTTAAACAAAATGACCCAATATGCCACATCAAAAATGAACATGAATTAATATACGATATAAGCACTCTTCAAGGCTCTTTAGAAATTATCCAGCATGCACAATATACTATATAAACACACTCTTGCCTTTGGCCCACTATAAATGACTTAAAGAATATTGGGCTTCCATACGGCAAGCCCATGTTGTATTCATTTTTTATACCGGTGATTATTGAGATTGATACAAATCCCAAACACTTGCATGGTATCAGAATCATGGCCACTATGGTTCATTTGCAAACCGAAACCTTGAGCGTCCCCCTCCACCCACAGCCAGCTAGAACCCTGCTACAGGACAACAGCACCATGGGCAATGTCACTCGCCTAGGCTCGCCAGACCCATGGCTACTCCCTGCAGAACTCCGCATCAACGCCATGTCACATCTCACATGACAACCTATGCTGTTATATCGGTCAGAATACGAAATATCGGTCAGGACCGATATATCGGTTATATCGGTGATATATCGGTTCAAAATAGCGGTTAACATAATATTTCTTAGAATTATATATACAATATGCATTAATTAGAGTTTAGAAATATAGTTTCAAAATTAAAACATCACATCATCTAAAGTGTTTAAAAGCGAGCTAATATAAAAGAAAGAAGAAGACCGTTGTGGAGGCAGATCAATTTCAGACCTAATTTAAGTTACCAAGCCCAAAAAACTAGGCCCATGAAGTAACAAAAGCCCAAATATTTAAACCCTAAAAAATCGATATATCTGTCCGATATTTGCATCAAAATATCGCTAAAAATCGGGAAAAATCGGAAAATATCGCCGATAATATCGGGAACGCTATGTTGACCGATATTTATGGACCGATATTTTCTCTAGGAGCGATAATCCGATATATCGCCGATATATCGACGATATATCGCGATATTAACAGCATAGATGACAACACCACCATGGCAGAGTTTTTGCCTCCCATCTATACCTTGCATCACCTGCTACCGATCAGACCCCAATCTGCCATCATTCAAGTCTCCATCTATCCACTACTTATTCTTGATCTCCCTCACCTGTCTGAACCATTGTCTCGTCTCCTAGAGCTGTTTCGCAAGTCGTTACCTACTGTTTACGCTAAAGGATATTGTGATCATCCCATGACTAAGTGGCTGGTCGGTCTTGTTTGCCTCTACTTTGACCAAGTCTGTTTTTTACACTAGCTCCTATGTTTGTGAGACTTTGAAACTATTATTACATCCTGATATTGATCTTCCCTTAACAACAAATTGGTGATCATATCATGAGTTTCTACCTGTTTATAGAACATTTAAGAGATTTAGCCAGATCAATTTGATATTTACCAGATTATCACAAGGGCTGCTGCTCAATGTGACACTGCCCCTGAAGTTCAGATCTTTCTGAGTGGTCCTGATTCTAGTTTTCTGCTACAGGACTCTGGTTATTTTATATTTCAGTTACCTGCCCGCCCCAGTTCTGAGTGTTCTATTCTTCTGCCTAATATGTCTAAAACTTATTCTAGTGGTAGAATCTGATCATCAAAAGATACGAGCACATGCTCTAACATCCTATTTCTAGAATGCTGTCTACTCTGCCGTTGTTTAAGCACGGTAAGGGGTATTTTGCCTACTCTTTTCATGTTCTTCTTCGTAGATACTTGATCGTGGTTTACCTCACTATAACATGGAAGAGATCTATTAGATTTACATCCAAAGCCATCTACACACCCACAGGTCAGGATCACCAGTCACTCATCTTGTCTCATTCGTGGCCTGCAATCCAGGAAGAGCTAATTATATATTTATCTTATATGCTATAGCCTATATGTCCCTACTTACTGAAAATATTATCCTCATCTTCCATCTTATATGCTATATGTCACATTTTCAGGGTACTTCAAACATTTGGAAGCTATTATAGTCGGTTTCTGTTATGTTCCACCGTATAGGTTTTTGTTCCCTGTGTTCAGCCACAACCCGGTATGTATTCTAAAGACTGCTCCCCCTTCATAATGAAATATACCTTTCACCCCATATCAATACTTGATACCAAAGCCAAATCTCAAAAACGTAAAACCCATACCCCTCTCAAAGCCATCCACCATATACTGCCATCCTTATGTCACCATGCTCCATTTTCTGGTGCCTCCATAGTAAATATTGAGCCTTCTGCTGCTCTCCAGGACTTGTCACAAGTTGTTGTTGCTCCCATTGGGATCATAGCAGCCATGTATTACCTCCCAAAGGCTCAAACCACAGCAACCCATTGCAGCATCTCCGTCTTCCTACAAGTTGCCGCAGAACCTGGTACCTGCTAATCGGTGGCTGCCATCATCTGCTAGCACCTAGCAGCACTGCCCTTTCACTCGATTTGCTCTCATTGCGACATGAACAGCCAATTAGTACTCTTGTTCATTACTGCTGATGTATATGGACATTGTGTTAGAGCTCTGTTCTCCTGTTCTGCACTACTACTCCTTGATAGGTCACTTGAGTAGATCTGTTCAGTCTTCAGATTCTGCCACACCTACCAGTATTTGGTTCTCCTCTGCTAGCTTTATCATGAATGATAAAGCGGAAATCAAAGTTAATCCTCCACCGACTAACTTTTTCACACTGCTCAAAGTTCTAATGAAATTAAACGTCTCCACCAGGCTAGAAAATGGTCTATATTGTTCAAACTGGCCTCTAAAGCAAATGAGGAACATCCAAATTCCAGCACCCATGATAAATTAAGTGACATGCACATTGTTCCTATCACCATAAAGTAGGGTCAATCAACTCTCAGTTTCACTTAGGGCATTCTAATCTTGGGGGACCTTATCTTGTCAAGTTGGTTGTTCGTTTCGAATACTCAATTATATTTGTTCATTAGCTCTCCAATAGTAGTGGGGAATAAAGTAAAGAAGTTAAATTTTGTCCATACTTTGTTATGCTCGTGCATATAAAACCAAACCAAACAAACCTAGTATATCCCACACAGAGGTAGGATCTAGGGAGGGTATGATGTACATGGACCTTATCCCTATCCCAAGAGGCAAAGATGATGTTTCTGAAAGCAAGGTTTTAAAAGGCGGAATCAGGCCTCGAAGCATTTTCTCTCAACGAAGGCAGGCATAAGCCTCGAGACGGTCCGAGGCATAAGACCTGAGGTGGAAATATATATGCACCAAAATATGTATATATACTACACAAAGATATACATATTTATATACAATATACAATACTAAATTAGTAAGGATGCTGGTTCAGTGGTCTTGACAGAGAAAAGAGTGAAACTGTGAGATATGCTGAGAGGGTGTGAAAAATTGGTTGCTTAGAGGTAGATAAAGGGTCAAACCATACTTTTTGATTGAGATGAGAAAGTACTGGCTTTTTGGGTTTTAAAATATTAAAAATACACATTGGGGCCACTAGGCTTTAACTTTTAGTTTTTTTAAAATTAGAAAAAAGAACTACTACTGCCATAAAGAGAAGTACTACTACTGCCATAATGCTTATAAAAAAGCAAAAAGAACCATTACTAAAGCAGATGAATCTCAGGCGTATGCCTCGACACCGCCTTACGCCTCACGCCTCACTGAATCAAGGCATAAGCGTCGTCCAGGGTCCAAAAGGCGCCACCTCAGGTGCGATCTAGGGCCGCCTCGCCTCAAGGCGTACGTCTCAAACGATTTTTAAAACCATGTTCATAAGGACTATGTCTGTACATATGTGGAACCCAATTTCAATAAACTCTTGCCATGAATCAGGTTTTCCATGAGAAAATCAAATAACAGAGGTTGGTTTTCATCTTGTATGAAATCATGAAATTCGTCTCATCCTCTTTCCATCTCATCCATTTGCAACGGAATTGAATATCGATGGAAAATATATGTTTAGGCATCATAAAAGTTATGTTTGATTTTCCATTATGTTTTCATTATATTCCATTTTAGGTTTTTTCTATTTGCTACTAACAACCAACATAATTAATTTTTAATGCTAGGTGATAATAGGGCCAAATGATAAAAGGGGCAAGATATGAATCTCAAAGACATTATGGTTGGCACAATGTAAATCTCATTGCATAGTCTTCATTTTTCCAAAAATGTATGGTTGTGTTTTCTATGTCCGATTGTGTGGAAATAAATTAGACTTCAAATCCGTCGTATGTGTCCAATGGTTTATCCTAGTACTTCAAAAGTCCACAAGTGCTACAACATAACATCAATTGATATT